AGAGAGAGAGAGAGAGAGAGACAGAGAGGGGAAGGAAGGAAGGAAGAAAGAAAGGAAAGAAAGAAAGGGGAAGGGGAAGGGGAAGGGGAAGGAAAAAATTAAAAAGGGCAAAAGGGCTGGGGGATGTAGCTCAGAGTGAAAGCCCTGGGTTCAACCCCCAGTACTCAAAGGGAAAAAAAAGGAACTTGCCTTGATTAATGAATGCTGCTTCTTAGATTCCAATAACCACCCCCAGGAAGGCTCGGTTCTCAGCACTGGGCCTGTTTATGCAGCCCCAAGCCCAGGCTGCTGAATTAGCCGGTTTTGCATGCTTGCAGCTCAGCCTTCTGTGAATGGAAAGAAGCTAATGCAGTGGGCTGGGCATACAGAGAAACCAAGCCCAGGCTGCCTTCTGTCTCCAGCTACCTGGGTGTTACACTGTGCAAAAGCTGCCTGGAAGGAACCAGAGACTGCCTAGCAGGCTACATAAGAACCTATTGCTCCCAGGGTTGGGGATTTAGCTCAGTGGTTCCGCCACCTGCCTCGCAAGCACAAGGTCCTGAGTTCGATCCCTGGTACCAAAAAAATAAAAAAAGAAACTATTACTCTCTTTCTAGCTACACTTCTTCCTCCTCAGTATTGAACTGTCCTGCTACAGGTCTCTGGGCACAATCTGAGCACAGTGTCACAAGCTAATCAGATTGGCCCACACCTTCCACTTGAAAGTCCATTGTTCTTACTCTAATCACAAAATTATAGTGCTTTCCCTCAGAGCTGCTACAAAGTACCTTGGCAGCCCTCATGCCCACAGCCATGTATTCTAACAGGAGTTGTCTCTGCTAGGGCGTGTCAAGACTCTTGAAAATGAAGTTATTCACTCTTCCTTCCAAGGACTCATCAGTAGGGCGAGGTGGTACATGCCTGTATTTGCAGCACTGAGGCTGAGGCAGGAGGATCCCAAGTTACAGCCCACCCTGGAGCAACTTAGTGAGATCCCAAGATTTAACAAAGGCTGGGGATGGAGCTCAGTTCAAAGGCCCTGGTTCATTCCCCAGTACTGGAGGCAGGGAAAGCAAAACAACCTCTCAGCTGAAGATGGGATGGGGCCCAGGGATAGAATGCTTCTCTAGCATGTGAGGCCCTGGGTATCATTTGCAGCACTGAGAAAAAACACTTGTTTTCAGGAAACACTAGCCTAGAAGGCTTACCCTTTGTAACGAACTATGTTTTTGTGACATTAAGGGAGTCCCAGTAATTTTTTAAAAGGCAGAACCACCAGGCTTGTTTCTGGAAGCATGTGAGACTGAAATTAGCTAATTACAAAAAAGTAGTGATAAAGATTACTAAATGAAGCCACAAGCCCAACTGTTAGGAGTCCTCTAGTATCTAAGAGACCCCAAAAGTCCATACAAGAGTCAACAATGGGACCAGGAAGGTAGCTCATCACCTCGGCGCCTGCCTGGCAAATGCAAGGTTTTAGCAATGGTCCAGGTGGATCTGGTGTACAGGAGTCTGTCAGGCAAACATGGTGCTCAGCGACTCTGGACCATTTAAACTCTACATTGTAAAACCCAGAGTTGGGTAGATACTAAGAACCTGTTCCAGAGGTCAGGGAACAGAAGTCTTTGAGACAAGGTCTTGCTATATAGGGTAGGCTAGTGTTGAACTATGTAGTTCAAGCTGGCCTTGAACTCAAGGCAATCCTCCTGCCTCAGCCTTAGATTACAGGTGTGTGCCACCATGCCTCATTTAATTATCTTTTTGAAATCACAGGAGAAATAAGTAATATTAACTGTGGGGATGGCCTATAACAATATATTTTTTTGGTACCGGGGATAGAACTTTGGACCTTTCAAGGCAGGTGGCAGCACCACTGAGCTAAATCCTGGCCCTTTTTTAGTTGTTTTTTTTTTTGGTACCGGGGACCGAACTTGGTTCCTTGTGCTTGCGCAGCAGGTGGCGAAACCACTGAGCTAAATCCCCAGCCCTCTCCTAGTTTTCAAACTAAACCAAAGGATACTTTGTCCTCTATCCTAATTCACAGTTAAGTGGCCCTCTCATGAGCTGAGTATGGTGTGGCTTTGGGAAAGCACTGAGCAGTTTAGCAGAAAGGAAATAAACTCAACAGCAGGCAGCTCCTTGCTTTTCTGTGCAAAGCAGCCTGCCATGTGCTGCTCATCTGTCCCATACACTCCCCAGGGCCAGGCCATGAAGCCCTCGAACTGGGCACTCTAGGAGTGGCTCAGGAACTCATATTGCCATTTCAGTTTCTCACAGCTCAGCCCACTTTCCTTTATGCCTAATTTATGATCCACCCCCAAATTATAGCTGTCTGCATGCAATGCTGTGGCTGGAGCTTGTAGCCCCAGGTACTTGGGAGGTGAGGCAGGAATACTGCTTGAGCCCAACAGTTCCAGGCCAGCCTTGGCAACATAAGACCCCACCTCAAAACAAAGGAATGCAGCATGTTACTGAGATCTATAACCTTAAAGTACTAGAGTCTCAGACACCTAAAACCAGTTATGTGGGAAGCTGTAACTTTGTGGAATAAGATATTAGTGACTAGCAACTAGTCAATTTCCTGAAAAAAAAAAATGTCACGTTTTCCAGGCTGGCCTTGAAGTTACACCAATACTCTTGCCTCAGCCTCCTGAGTGGTAGGGTTACAGGACTGCACTACCAGAAATTCTGAACGGTGACACATCAACTTGGGAAGCTGAGTCTGGAGGCACAAATGTGCCTAGAAGTTTCAGACCATGTCTCCAAAAGTAAAAAACCTACTCATTATGTGCCAAGCAGTTCAACCCCTTTATGTAGATGAACCCTAGAATCTGTAGTTACTGCCGAATTGATCACCCCCTTCCCATCACTCAGATCAAATCCAAAAGCAAGTAACATTTCTCTACAAAGCAAGGAGAATGACCCCAGTCCAAAAAGAATCTTTACGTTCCTTTATTGGAGCAAGATTCCCGACCAGTATACAGTGATGTATTACACACTATCCATCTAGACAGGTTAGGGTTACACTTTGCCTACTGATGGGATAGTTCCATTTATAAAGTTTTATACATCAAAAAGCTTTGAATTTGACTAGGCTGTCCATTAATTCACCTCTGAAAAAGTGGCATTTAATTTCAGCTCTATTTTACAGCAGTAAAAAGCTTATGCATTAAGAAGCCTGTTACTCTGCACAGCGGCTTTGAGCAGAGTCCGCATCCCACCCAGATTCACACAGTGGCGTCTCAGTTTTCTCCTAGATCCCTGGAGACCCTAACCCTCAAGCACCCCCTTTCCCTGGCTGCAGTCACCAGTGCACCAGGTCTACATGAGGGTGGCAGAGGATGTGCCTATCACATCCAGGTACAGAGGCCCATTTTAAGAGCTGCCAATTGGAGGTAAGAAGGTTACAACTGGAACTCAGCTCACTCAGATCCTGGTACCTCAAGTGACGTATTTTCAGAAACACTGGCAAACTGTATGTACCCGTCCACAGCTACGGAGACTTTAAGACACTGATTCAAATCCCTTTACCCCATCCGTATAGCCCTGAGGTCGTCCTGGAAAGTGCGATATCAAAAAATATGGAGTTAGGTGACAAAGGTGGCGTTGTTACAAGTCGTTTGGAAGGCCCTCCATTCTGAGAGAAAACATCAAACCCTTCGCGTACACATGTAGTTTTATTGTAACAAAGCAACTTGTACACTTTGAACGTTTAAAACTGCGCATCACCTTTTCCTTTCCAGTGAAAACAAAAAAGAATTTAAAAATAAACCAACAAAATTACAATAGAGAATGTCAATTCCAAATAAGACCCTACAGGTTCTGCTG